AGTTAAAAATTTGATATTCAATCATGAATTCCAACTTTAAAACAAAATAAGAGATTAATGGTATATTCAGGTTGAGGGAAATGGAAAGAACAAAAATTGTATCCAAATGACATTTTTTTTTCCTTTCCTTAGAGGGGTTGAAGAAGAAGTTACAAGTATTTGAATCATCATCAATGGCTAAGCAAGTTTTTAGACTAATGAGTTTAGAGTTCTTTCTCTATTCTCTAATTCTTTTAAATAACTAAATAAATAAATAATTTTCTCTCATCTATTCTCCATTCTCCTCAATCCAATATGCTGAACTCTAAAAGAAAAAGAGGGGGAGTGAAGGATTGAAGGAAGAAGAGGTACTCCCTGCAAATCATCTGATTTGACTAATCTAAACACTTCTTAGTTTTTACCCAAAAAAACTAATCTTAACATTAATTAATTCATTAATATAATAAACAGTGAGGGTGATATTACACTGAGCCGCAACATTGAATAAAAAAAAAAAAAAGGGTGTCTGATGAATCTACCTAGACTCTCTCACTACTAAACCACTAAAAACCAAATCTTTCTTTGCGACTTTCTTCCTCTGCCCAACTCCTAGATCCGCCGGAAATATGGTCCAGAAAAAAGCCGGCAACGGCCAGGTGCTAGACTCGGTGTGCTCGGTGATCGCGTTAGTGTTCATACTAGTTGCCTGCGTCGAACTCTGCGATGCTGCCTCCGTCGTCGACGTCTACCGTCTGATCCAGTACGACATATCGGGTGCGCCGTTCGGATCCCGCCTCGCTACTCTTAATCACCATGCTTCCTCTATGCATTTTCCTCCCGGTTCCGATCTCTCCAGAGCTGTACTCATGATTCCGCTCCGCGAATTGAACATGACTTTTGTTCGAGGTTACTTGCATTCTGGACGAGTCTTGCTTCCCTTCCGATTCTGTTTTCGTTTTTCAAGATTGATTTGTGTCCCTGCTATTAATTTTTTCTCTATTTCTTTATGTCGCAGAATATATCACTCAGAAGAAGCCTCTAGGTGGATTATTGCTTCTGCTTCCCGACGTGTTTAACTTGGAAAATGCTATCAACAAACAAACTAATGGAAATCAGCTGATGAAAAATGTATTGGTAGAACTCGAACAGCTACTTGTACATGCCAATATTCCTGTGAGTGACTGTCCATTCTGAGATTGTTAGTTTAAATTTTTGTCCTTTGTGAATTCAGTATCTTGAGATGGGAACATTTATCTCGCTATGGAAGTTCCCTTGTCAATTCTGTTCATGGGTATTTAAACAGTAATACTGACTAAATAAAGCTGTCGACTTTAGATTTAACAAGGTTAGAACAGATAACATTTCTTACAGGACTTCTGCTCATGTTTGTTGTATGCATCTAATTTTAGATTTGAAATCCTCTTGATAATTAACAACTAATTTACTGGAGGGAAGAGTGAAAAAAAGATACAGCATTTGTTTCTTTTAATTTTTGGATTCTGGTTATTCTTCTAATCTCATTGTTCTTAAATTTTTATTATTTTAAAGCTTGTCTTACTTGTGGAATGCTTCTGTTGCAGTATCCTGTGTATTTTGCTTTTGAGAATGAAGATATTAATGCGGTTTTGGCTGATGTCAAGAAGAATGATGCCATTGGTCAGCCTGCTACTGCAACTACCGGAGGGTTAGTTAATAGCTTCTTGCTATTTATTGTAGGAGTCTCAATTAACAACATTTGTCGTCTTGAAATTCAATTGTTGTTGTTAAATATAGTAATTAAGATTGGATGAACTTGGTTAAGCTTCTATTGCCACAAAGATCTTACGTGTTCTGTTCCTGAAAATTTCACTTCATGACCTGCTACAGTTTCAGGGCATGTTTGATTGCTTTGACATTTCCTTTAAAATATAATGGATATAATCTTCACTCTTTTTGCTAGAGGGTTGAATGGGTTTTATGAAAGAGACTTAAAGATATATCTAGTTGTCTTTGTTTTTGATAAAATGTCATTCAGCTTTTATGGTTAAGGGCATGGGTCTATTCATCTGGATTAATGTTTTGGTACTAAAATGTAAGACAATGGATCTAGGATTCTAGTCTAGTGCTTATGTATTTGGATTAATGAAGTGCTGGAGAGAATTGAAGGTTATTTTATTTTGTAACTTATTATTTATTTTTTGGGCTAGAAGGGACATTTTGTCAAAAGTTCTCCATAGTACCAGCCCTCTTGAATTAAAGTCATCAGTATTTTCACTGGTTCTACTTCTTGCTGCTACTCTTTTAAAATGTTTGTGTATAATATAAATGTATATGATTCCTTCATTGACTTGTCATATTTAATTGCAACTTTTCTTGTGACAAAACTGTAGATATAAGCTTGTTGTCCCTGCACCAGAACCAAAGAAAGTTGCATCTCCCACCATCACAAATATTCAGGTCTGTCAATTCTTTGCTCATTAGGAAAGAATATTTACGCTATTTTGTAGGCTGTTAAATGCTGATGGTGTTTGCTAGAAAATTTTTTTGATCTCAATAATTTTTTTGAGTGGTGGCAGGGATGGTTGTCTGGATTGAAAGCTGATGGAGATGCAAATCAACTCCCAACCATTGCTATTGTAGCATCTTATGATACATTTGGAGCTGCTCCTGTATGTAATTTTATTACATTTCTTTAATTGAACTAACTTCCATTACCTGTATAGCGGTCTAAGAAACTCTATGTTTGTAGGCATTATCAGTTGGAAGTGATAGCAATGGAAGCGGCATTGTCGCACTTCTGGAAATAGCTAGGTTATTCTCACTTCTTTACTCAAACCCAAAGACAAGAGGAAGATACAATTTACTTTTTGGGCTGACATCTGGTGGACCATATAATTACAATGGAACTCAAAAGGTGACTAGTTCTATCGAATGATTTGACTTTATTTCATCTCTCTTTTGAGGCTCATATTTCCTCTTTGAGTTATTTTCCATACCCATTTACCACAAACATGTAACTGAAAGAAATTCTCTGTGCAGTGGCTTAGGAGCTTTGATCAACGTTTGCGTGAGAGTATTGACTATGCCATTTGCTTAAATAGTATTGGTTCATGGAATAATGAACTATGGATTCATGTCTCTAAGCCTCCAGAAAATGCCTACATAAAGCAAATCTTTGAGGTCAGCTGATAAGATATGGAAGAAAGATTTTAGCTTTCAGGGGTATTGTTTAATTGCATGAGTTATGCAGTCTTGCCTTATGTTTGAAGAAACCATGGTAATTTTTGCAGGGTTTCTCTGAGGTAGCAGAAGAGTTGGGGATCAGTGTTGGTTTGAAGCACAAGAAAATAAACATCTCCAATCCTCGAGTAAGTATATATGTATATTTGTAAATATGTAAGCTATGCTATGCACATTTGCACGGATCAGGAAATTTCTTGTGTTTTAATAAATCTTCTCAAAGAACTGTTTTGCAATCTTGTTAAAATTTGATGCTTGAAGCTAGAGAGATTTTTATCTTGAGAAAAACAGTCTTATTCTTGTGATATTCATGGCATTTCTGGTCTTTATTACTTTTTCTTTGTATGAGTTTATTATTGACTACAAGCATATAGTTGGTACTGGTAGAAATAAACTTTGGACTTTATGCTTGCTGGAAGAAAGGGTGTGTATGTTTCTTGGCCAACTCACTCTGGAAGGAAGTCTACTCAATTTACTTGTCTTTCTTGTAGCATTTGAACTTTATTATGCATTCACCACTCTTGAAGGTGCATTACCTTTAATGAAGCTGTTGATCTACTACAGGTAGCTTGGGAGCATGAACAGTTTTCAAGGCTGAGAGTTACTGCT